TGTTTTGGATCAACAAATAATATTTGTAAATATTTATGGGTTACAGTGTGATATTCAATACATGTGTATAACATGTACGCTCAAATCATGATAATTAACATTTCCTTCTCCTTATCTCTTCTCTGTATTTGGAGTCTTTGAATCCCTCTCTTCTAGTTATCCACAGGTGTATAATAGGCTATTGTGAACTGTAGCCCCTCCCCTTAGGCTATATGCAGGACTAGAACTTATTCCTTATGTCTAATTGTTTTGGTATACATTATCCATCTCCCTTCTACCCCTATTGCCCCCCTCCTTCCCAACCTCTGGTAATCACTCTACTCCATTCAGATCAATTTTTAAGCTTCTATATGAGAGAGAACATATGGTATTTGTCTTTCTGTGTCTGACATATTTCACTTAACATAATTCCCCCAGTTCCATTGATTTTCACATGCATTTTTTTCTAAACTAATCCTTCCAAAGATCCTCATGTGATTCAGAGAAGAGTAGAATGAATATAGATTATTGGCCTATCATTTGTCAGACACTATAAAACTCTCTAAATACCTTAATTGCAATCTTTATGTATTTGTCTTTTTTTTCTTTTACAGATGAGGTCATGAACTTCATGTGCAAACTCCTGTCTTGAGTTCACATATTTTGTATGTAAATACCATGCTTTTTCTTTTGTTTGAATCTCACTGAAAATGTTTTTTTCTAACACTTGAATTTTTCCTGTGTTGGTATTAAGGAGAAATAGCTTTAATTAAATATAAAGATAAAATTAAAACTGCCCTAAGATAATCACTGTGACATTTTGTTTCATTTTCTTTTGTTCCATTTCTTGCATAAATAACTGTGTGTGCTTACACACCCACACACAACTCCCCCCCACACACTTAAATAATGTTACATGAATACTTCTGTAKATGCGTGTCATTTTTCACACAGATTACAATTCTAAAATGGATTAAAACATGATGGTGATTTGATCCTCACCCTTCTGCAAAATTTCCAATGTATGAGGCTATTTATTGCAGTATTTTTACATTAACAAAAGCAAAGAAACAATCCAAGTGCTCATATATATGTGTGGATATGCACATAGAGATAAAAATGTATAGTYTCCCTATTGCAAGCATGCTGCACATGTTACTTTAATTTTTTATACTTATCAAACATCATATCTTGGATATATTTTCATGTTTTAAAATATGCCTTGAAATATTTTCTATAATTTCACAGTGGTCTTTGTATAGAATAACCTGTTCTTTATTTCTATATATTATTTCTTTAGATAATATTTCTATACATCATTTGAATCAAATACAGAAAAATATATTTGTTCAAGCATTATACATTGAAGTATATATATTTAAGCATACCTCTATATTTCCTCTATATTTTGGTATTTTAGATTGTTTAAAAGTTTAAGAATGGTATACCAAACAACCTTAACACAAATCTGTGGCAATGTATCATTTCCCTAGGCTAATAATTAAAAACATTTCTAAGTCAGCATGTCATCAATTACCCAACAGTGTGATAAAGTAGATGATAGATTTCCTCATATTGAAACATTGAACTATTCCCAGAACACATTCTATTTGATTCTGTTGTCTTCTTATTTCATTACAACTCTGGCTTGTATTTGCTTATATTTAATTGACATACATTACGCATTCATAAAATTTGTATTTTTCTGTGCTAACACTGTCAAGGAGTTTTGTTTGAAGATAATGATTTTTGTGAAACCAAATGGATAGCATGGAATCTTTTCCTCTACTTTGAAATTATTTATATAGCATGTGAAGTATCTGTTCTTTGGAAGTTTGAAGGAATGTAACAATAAAAATGCCTTATGTCTTGGGGGGCGTTCCTTCTGTTAGCACAGGACTAGAGGTGTGGCTTGTATTATTTCATTGACTGCTTCACTGCTTTGGGAGGTAGATATTGTTATCATTGCCAGTTTAGAGATAAGGAAACAGGTTTTTAAAGATTGAATATTTTGCCCAATGTTATATAGCTAGCAAGAGAAGCTGGAATGCAAATCCTAGGAGACTAGCACTAGAGCCCAAATCCTTAACCAATATGTATCTTGCTTTCTCATGCTTGGCAACATAGTCCTTGCAAATTGATTCATTCAAGATTTCTGATCCTAATTTCAATTTGTAATTTATATTTTTTCTTTAAAAAAAAAACCTTATTGGACATTGAAAATCTTATTGCCTGAAAACTGTAATACCCCCCACAACATTCTCTATACACGAAGGCATTTCCCCTTCATTGTTTTTTATTTTTTGTATCCATGTTTTCTGAATTAGCAAGTATTCATATT